AATGCATTAATTGTCGGACCCAAATACTTGTACAGTTTAAGACATTCGATATTGTTATTATCTAGATGGAAGGGGATTTTGAGGTGTTTACCAGATACATTGAATCTATAAGCATTAACTTTGAGGCAGCACAGTATGTATTTAGTATATTGCGTTTTTCTTATAGACTTTGGGCAGTGGGGGAGAGAAGTACCATGTCATCAAAATACAAGAAAAGACGTAGATGAATCACTGTTTAATTTTACAAAACTTTCAGTTTTTGAGAGATAATCTGATAGATCGTTAAGGTAAATCTTGAATATATTTGGACTCATGTTATCTCCTTGTCTAACCCCACTGCAATTGTGAAAGTGACCAATAAATTTGTTACCCAGTTTAGTAGATTGATTGATTGATTGATTGATAACATGTTGTTTTGCGTCCCTGAATTTTTCAATTATATAAAGACGTCACCATATACGCGGTGAAGGGTTTCAAATTTAGACCTTTACTCGGCACTCAGTGCCATTAGGGTCACCCCATTGGGCAGTGAGAGATGTGACGCTACATATTGTCGTTAGAGATACATATTGTCGCCGGCGAAAATATGTACCTATCCTCACTGTACATATTGTCTATAAAAAAAATCCTCTAACAACCCTAAATGTGGGGCGACAATACGTTCAGTGAGATTAGGCATATTCGCCAGCGACAATATGTACATGTATCATTTTTCAGCCGGCGACAATATATGCTGATGGACAATAATATGTGCAGTGAAATAGGTGCATATTGTCGCCGACAATATGTACAAAACCACAAAATGTACCGTCACAAGGGACTTTATCCTGCCAACGCCTGCCGTAACATCGGGCCACGGTTTTTAAGAACTCATCCGAAAGTCCTGTGACTTTCACTTCAAAGTGCCGAATGCTTAGCGAAGGAAGTTGCTACCTATTTTTTTATCGACTTAGATTAGTCGCGGCCGAAGTTCGAACCCACAACCTTCCGATCACAATTTAATATATGACTACCTTTTAGAATACATTTCTTTAACAATTGAATAAAATTATTACCAACGCCTGCTTTTAAAAGTTAAAGTTATAAACCAGCATGGTTTATAGTAATCAAAGGCCTTATGAAAGTCAACAAAGTGTATATATAGTTTCCCTTAACCTGATTTGCAATATTTATCAATAAGTATTTTCGAGACAAAAACATGACCTAAGATTCTAGGTTGTTTTGTAAATCCTATTTGACATGGATTGATTTTATTTTTGCATTGTAAATATTGATCGAGGTTTGGGTTAAGAATATAATTGAAAAGTCTTCCATTTGAGCTGGTAATTGTGATTCCTCTATAATTGTTTGGACCATTAGTATTGTAAGCTTTAATACCAGTGATGTTAACCTTCACACCATGAAGAAGGATAATAACCATGAGGTAGGCAAACATTAAATATTTTCAATAAAACTGGTATCAGAAACATTTGACCATGTGTAAGCATTTCATTACAGATTCTGTCAGGACCGGCCGCCTTGCCATTTTTAGACGGGGTAACGTGACCCCCTTTATTAGTTTACTGTCAGTTGAGGCTCAAAACGGAAGCCGTGCGGAGAACACATGAATTAAATCTACGCTAAATGAAAGAGTGCAGAAATTGTTTTGATGAAAATATAAACACGCTGGATCAAACTAAAGAGTGTGATATGCATATTTTCTTGCTCAAATCAAAGAAGCATTTTTGAAAATGTTACACTTGAAAAACATAATACAGAACCACTCTAGTATACAACTTATTCGGCTGCGTAATACAAGACTGCGTACGCGTCATCTATTGTTTACTTCCGGAAATGTCATATTAATTCGGACACGGTGAAATTCGGAAAATTCAGAAAAAGTTTCTTGACTAGTTACTGATAAATCTATTACAGTGTAAATGAAAAACGTAAAGATATATATTTCACAGTGTTTTTTTAAATATTATGTCAATAGTAAGTTATAAAAAAAAATTTAGTTGGTATCAAAGCCCTACCAAAAAAAATTTCAATATGCAGTCATGAAATTTGTAAAATAATGAAATTTCTTAATTGACCCTGTCTTTCAGTACTGTATCAGTACTTTGATTAGTTTGCTGATTGCTTTACTTATTTCATCCTTTTAAATATCATATTTCAATATATCCAATGAAGAATTACATCAAAGAACAAAAACACCAACAGTAAGTGAAACAGTACTACTCAGGAAATAGACTGACCATGGAAAACACTAGGATATGCACCACTGCACTGAATTGGCGTCCAAAGGGAAAGAGGAAATTGGGCTGGCCAAAAACAACATGAAGGAGGGCAACATAACAGGAACGATCACAGCTGGGGTGGTATAGCTGGGCGACGGCAAGGGCAGCAACCAGAGACAGGGCAAGGTAGAGGCAGTATATTGAGGCCTTATGTGTGAAAGCCGAAAGGGTACGAGATAGAAAGGTATTATATTATTAAAAAAATATTTTTTAAAATGTACAATGTGTGAAATAAATTCCATGTCCAACTACACAATATTGAATAACATCTTTTAATCAAAATTATGAGCTATCTGTTTAGGTAACTGACATCACTATTCTTACACCTACATTCGTACTACTCAAGGATTACAAGATTTTAAAGTACAACCCGGATACACTTCCGACATCCTGCTACCTGGTGGTTAATTATAAGTGCGTATATTTTACGCCAGACAATCAAGATTTCCAAATATGTGTCCCAAACACTCAGACAAATATGGCCAAAAATAGATGTGTGTCCACCCGTTTGGAGATACTAAATACACAATCTCCTTCATTTTGTTAGTTCTACTGGTCAGAGACCAGAAGAGCTTATGCGATAGTAAGTTGTCCGTCGTCCGTCTGTCTTTCTGTAAACAACTTTTCAAAATGCTACTCCTCCTACAGTTTTGGTCTGATTTCAATATAACTTGGCACACAAGTACACTACACTAAGATACATAATTCTGTGTATCGGTTTTTGATTTTGGTGAACGATGTTGCCATGGTTACTAAAAATATAAATTTCTGTGAAATACTTTTCAAAATGCTACTCCTCCTACAGTTTTGGTCTGATTTCAATATAACTAGGCACACAAGTACACTACACTAAGATACATAATTCTTTGTATCGGTTTTTTGATTTCGATTCATGGTGTTGCCATGGTTACTAAAAATAGAATTTCTGTGAAATACTTTCAAAACTCTACTCCTCCTACAGTTTTGGTCTGATTTCAATATAACTTGGCACACAGGTAGATTACACTGAGATACATAATTCTGTATATCCATTTTTTGATTTTGGTGAAGTGTTGCCGTGGTTACAAAAAGCTGAAATTTCTTTGAAATACTTTAAAAACATTACTTGTCACCCGCATGGCGCAGTGGTAGAACGTTTGCTCTAGAGTCGCAGAGTAAGGAGTTGATCCTTACGTCGCAGGTTCAAATCCCACTGTGGGACATAGAGACTGGTCCTTCGGATGAGACCGTAAAAACCAAGGTCCCATGTCGCAGTAGGTGCTGGCACGAAAAAGATCTTTTACTGCTCAATGGCACTGAGTGCCGAGCATAGGTCAAAATTTGCAGCTCTCCACCGGCAAGTGGTGGCGTCTCCATATGAGTGAAAAATTCTAGAGAGGGACATTAAACAACAAACAAACAAAATAGTACTCCGTCTACAGTTTGGTCTGATTTTAATATAACATGGCATGCAAGTAGACTACACTGAGATACATAATAGTCTCTTTTTTTATTTTGATGAATGATGTTGCCATGGTAACTAGAATAAAAAATTCTCTAAAATTCTTTTAAAAGGCTACTCTTTCTACAGTTTTAGTCTGATTGCAATTCATCTTGCGACAAAAAGAGAGTAAAACAAGGATTATTATTTATTTATTTCTATTGCAAGTGCTACTTTCCTCTTCCTTTGTTATAAGTACAAACCAGTAGAGCTACAGTCTCGACAGAGACTTCTGGTTTGTTGTTTGACGTCTCTCTCGAGAATTTTTCACTCATATGGAGACGCCACCACTTGCCGGTGGAGAGCTGCAAATTTTGACCTATACTTGGCACTTAGGGCCATTGAGCAGTGAGGGATCTTTTTCATGCCAGCACCTACTGCGACACGGGTCCTCGATTTATACGGTCTCATCCGAAGGACCGGTCTCCACGTCCCATAGTGGGATTCGAACCCGCGACGTAAGGATCAATTCCTTACTCTGCGCTCTACCACTGCGCCACGCGGTCGACCAATCTCCTTCATGAACATAAACATATTCACTTTAATAAATGGGGGTGGTGTGGGGCAAAATGGCTTGTATCTGTTGGTCGGTCGGTAGACCAAGTGTTGTCCGATCAATACATGTATCTTATAAACCTTTTGCTTGACAAACGTCAAACTTGGTACACTGGTTCCTCTAAGGAGTGGCTTACTTTTATTGATTTGAGGTCACAAGGTCAATGGTCAAACTATTCTGGATATAGGAAGACATTGTCCGTGCAATATATTGAGAACCCTGTCACTGACAGACATCAAATTTGATACACTGGAACAATAAGGGGTAGATGACCCCTACTGATATTGAAGTCAGAGATATTCTGAATTTAAGATTTTTCGATATAGCCACCTGGGGAGGGGGCGTATGTTTTTAAAGTATTTCTTGTTTTTATTATCACACTCTTTGGTATTTTCTTATTTTTATTTCTTACTAAAAATCAATTGTACAGCAAAAATTGTAAGTAAAAGGGTAAAAACTATCAATGCAATTAAATTCAATTAGGTGACGGAGTTCTATCTCTCCAAAATGCAATTCATACAGTTTTCTACAACTTTCTAACATGAGTGAGAATATTATGAACATGAATGGAAAATCAAGAGTAAAGCACTGCCACAATGAAGGAGATCAAATTAATGTGAGCAAATCAGCATAAAACAATAAAATTTTCTCTCTACATTAAGCACGATCCCCGTTGTACACTTACCTGTATTTATTGATATTTGTGCCCATGTTTCTGTAAATAATAGAAATAATCCAATTGTTATCATCTCAGAACTCTAAAACTTCCTGGTCAACAGTGTTGTATACTCTATTTCGTCGAAAAACCGTAACTTCCGAATGTTTACTGAAAAATTTATAGACACATATAGCTTCATATCTTTCAATTTCCTTTTATGTAAATCTTCATCGGGCGTAAAACAGCCTAAACGGAAAAAAATGTGTCACACATCACTTCATATACTTTAAAATTTGAGTGTTTTCAGAATGCGTTTACAAACAGTATGATAATCATAATTGCTTTATAATCCCTCTATTGACAATATCTTAAATTAAAATTTCCTTAAACAGATGCTCTAGCAAACAATTATGCCGATTTGTGTATATATGCACTCTGAATATTTTACTGTACAGCTCATGAAATACAGAGCTGGCATTACATGTATAAGTATCCTACCATTAGTCATAAAAGAAAATATTCAATTTTGAACAAAAACTCGTCACCTGAGATAAGTACGAATATTTTAAAGTCAAATGAACCATCTTATAAAACATTGAAAATCTTTATTAATAGAGAAATAGATTAGATTTCTTTGACCCATGTGCTAAAGACAAAAAATCAAATATATTTGTTCTTTATGATTGATCAGGTAACTCCTAGCTCTCTGATTGGTTCAGATCCCGCAACATTTAAAAATCATACCGAGTTACGAAACTTTCTAGGTGAGCATATATATATATATATATATATATTTATTACATTTTCAACAGTGAAATACTGTGATTTATTTATTGAATAAAAGTGATATTCTCTCACAGTGTGAAAGGATACCAAAATGATATTCTCTCACAGTGTGAAAGGATATCAAAGTAAGTAAAAAATAATTTCTGGCCTGTCATAAGATAGAGATAGTAACTAAACATATTGATAGAGCTAAAACTGCAAATTTCTTCCCAAGTATGTTGCTAAAATCTATGCTATGTAATGTTTCAATCTCACAACTGCTAAGCTATGACGTCTCAACCGCTCAACTATGACGTCAAGCCTATGACACTGTGTTAAGAAAAGACAGAGGCAAAGGGAAAATCAAAGAAAATGTAATAAACAGAAAATTCAATGTTTTGTAGATGAATATGTAATTTATTTCACTCATGAGACAAGAATTTTTTATATTTTCACTCGTGCTTCGCACTCGTGAAAATATCAAAAAATCCTGTCCCACTCGTGAAATAAATTCCATATTCATCTACAAAACATTGAATATCCTCTATATATATATATATATATATATATATATATATATATATATATATATATATATATATATATATATATATATATATATATATATATATATATTCAAATAAAAATAGATAGATAACTTCCAAATTGATCGAGATATTGCAACCGACCTTCTATAAGTGAACATAACATTTTTTTTCTACTGTCATGTTGTAAATTTTGAATTTACAGCAGTAAAAAATCCCAATCTCAGACATGCCCGAGTAAAGCTGATACCCTTGGTCGCGATCGAAATTGTATACCACAACGGTCAACAGTCGTTAACTGAATTGACGCTAGATGGCTCGAGAGTAAGCCAAAAGGTTCAATTAAGTAACTTCTTCAACACATGTAAAGCTTAATTGGGATGTTATAAACTTTTAAATTCACAATTCTATAAACAACGACCAATGAGGTGTAACGTTAAAATAGATGTCATTTCTTTTGGGCAAAATGGGAAAATAGACTTCTTTGTTACATTTTCAACAGTGAAAGACTGTGATTTATTTATTGAATAAAAGTGATATTCTCTAACAGTGTGAAAGGATACCAAAGTAATATTCTGTCACAGTGTGAAAGGATATCAAAATAAGTAAAAATTATTTCTGGCCTGTCATAAGATACAGTAACTAAACCATCTTCATAGACACTTAAACTGTCAATTCCTTCCCAAATATGTTGCTAAAATCCATGTTACAATGTTTTCAATCTCACAACTGCTAAGCTATGACGTCTCAACCACTCAGTTATGACGTCACAGGCTATGACACTGTGTTAAGAAAAGACAGAGGCAAAGAGAAACCAAAGAAAATGCAATGAAAAGAAAATTCAATGTTTTGTATTTGGATATGGAATTTATTTCACTCGTGAGACAGGCTTTTTTTTTTATATTTTCACTCGTGCTTCGCACTCGTGAAAAATCAAAAAATCCTGTCCCATTCGTGAAATAAATTCCATATCCACATACAATACATTGAATATCCTGTGTATCAATTTCTAAGTATTTGAATAAAATTTATTAGAGCGTGCATGAGTAAAGTCATTTAATTTTTAAAAGCATTTAAGGATATGATCTCATACTTTTCTCACTAAATGTGTAGTTATACCTTTATGAACTTGCAAAATTAAAAATAAAAACAAGATGTGTTTGTGAAACACTGATGCCCCCGTATGGCAACTTATAGCAAAGGTTAAACTTTCTCAAATGCAAATCAAATATGTTGGTACCCAAAGTAAGGTCTTGTCTTGAGGAATAAACCTGTGAAATATGAAAGCACTAGCAGCAACCATTGAATAGATATGGAAAAGGTTAAAGTTTTTTCAAAAGTATGTCAAACATCAAGGTCAAGGTCAAATGGTCAAAATTAATGGTGCCCAAGGAAAGGCCTTCTCCCAAGAAATACACAGATGAAATATGAAAGCCGAAGCACCAATCATTCAAAAGTTATGACCAAGGTTAAAGTTTTCCAAAAGTAGGTCAAACTCCAAGGTCAAGGTCAAAGGGTCAAAGTTGTTGGTATCCAAAGAAAGGTCTTGTCACAATGATTACATGTGTGAAGTATGAAAGCCCTAGCACCAACCATTCAAAAGTTATGGCCAAGGTTAAAGTTTTGAAAAAGTAGGTCAAACTTCAAGGTCAAGGTCAAAGGGTCAAAGTTGTTGGTATCCAAAGGAAGGTCTTGTCACAAGAATAACACATGTGAAATATAAAAGCTCTAGCACCAATTGTTCAAAAGTTATGGTCAAGGTTAAAGTTTTCCAAAAGTAGGTCAAACTTCAAGGTCAAAGGGTCAAAGTTGTTGGTCTTGTCACAAGAATAACACATGTGAAATATAAAAGCTCTAGCACCAATTGTTCAAAAGTTATGGTCAAGGTTGATGTTTTCCGAAAGAAGGTCAAACTCCAAGGTCAAGGTCAAATGGTCAAAATTGTTGGTATCCAAAGGAAGGTCTTATCACAAGAATTACACATTTGAAGTATGAAAGCCCTAGCACCAACCGTTCAAAAGTTATGGCCAAGGTTAAAGTTTTTCAAAAGTAGGCCAAACTCCTAGGTCAAGGTCAAAAGGTCAAAGTTGTTGGTATCTAAAGGAAGGTCTTGTCACAAGAATTACACATGTGAAGTATGAAAGCCCTAGCACCAGTTGTTCAAAAGTTATGTCCAAGGTTAAAGTTTGGTAAAAACTTTGCAAAATTGGGTCAAATTCCAAGGTCAATAGTCAAATATGGTGGTCTTGTCACAAGGAATACACATGTGAAATATGAAAGCCGTAGCTCCAACCAATCAAAAGTTGTGGGCAAGGTTAAAGTTTTTGTGGACAAACAGACAGACAGACGGACGGACAGGGCAAAAATTATATACCCCCGAATCTTCGATACGGGGGCATAAAAAAGACTTGTATGTTTTATTACACATATATAGAATTATGATAAATGGAAATTATTTAATTAATAAAAAAATACATTAGAATTAAAACTTTTAAAATACCTGAAATTTAGATGAAATATCTGGATGCAAAGATCTACAATTTACCAAGGAAGCGCTTTAAACCAAGATTTTAACACTGGCTAAATGGGAGAGGCTAATAAGGAGAAAAGTTTAAACAATATAAAAACTTTTAAGTGTCTGTGACATTCTACTTCCGATCAAACTATTTTGACTATGTGTTTTCTTCCTTTAAATTATCTAGAAGTTACAATTTTAGAATAACCTGGGATGAACTTGAGTACTTGTTACAGAACAACCAGCCTCGAGGTCAGGCTTCCTGTTGGTGACAATGTTGTGTACACTTATCATGTTATCCAGATATTGTGTGAGAGGATATATTCAATCTCAAACACGCCAGTTGGGATTATCTTTTTTTTAATTCATACTTTCATATCTGTTCTGTATTCTTCATACTAGGGTAAATTCTATAAACCATTTAATGAAATCGTTTCACATCTCTTTAGAATATTGAGAGGATAAGCTGAATGTTTTAACCTCAAAAAGTTTCTTGTCAGCCCTTGTAATGATATTTTGGCATCATAAATCGTCTCATAAGTTAGCTAATAATGTTGGAGAAGACATTTTTAGTTATTAAAATTTCATACGCATTTATATATACTTTTACAATTTCTTTGAATGATTTTTTTATATTTGAAGTAGCAATAGTATGAGTACTCTTTTTAGCACTGGAGACGGTATATTAAACATAAACTTTGGATACTTTTGCAGAAACGCTCATAATCCCTCTGTTCTTCCAAGTATATTTTCACTTAATGATTATGATTTTCCAAAAGAAATTTAAATCATAATTGGAAGAGGAATAATTTCAACATACCCGAGGGGGGGGGCGTAAAATTTGGCAGAAAACGCCTTTTAACGTGACTTTTTGAAGAAAAAAAGTCATTAATTTCAATGAGAGTTATCTCTCTAATCAGAGGGTCATTGATTCTTAAAAGTTAAAATGGCATTATTCAATGGACTAATTATTAAGCTCTTAATTTTAACTATTTTCATCGGCTAGCTGCCATGTCATGCTCTACATTTTGTATTTACTACCATCCAGTAAATTTTAAACTTAAACATGACATTACATTTAATTTAATAAACAGTCATTCTTTAAAACGCATTTAGTGCTTTCTTCTACGCTGTGTATTTAAATAGTTTTACAGTTGTGGTTAATTATCCTTCTACTGAAGCAGTGGTGTGATAAAAAGCAGCTGTCAATGATGTCAAAAAGCCTGGACTTTATTTATTGTGGGGAATGGTTGAATTTTATCATGGGGAATGGTTGTATACAGAGTTAAAAAGTTTTATTATTGATTTTGGTAAAATTTTGTGATTTCAAATTTTCCAAAAG